AGTATTGTCTGTGGTATTGAACAGCTTTACATCATCAGCGAAGAGAACGCAATTGCTCTTGATATGATCACAAAGGTCGTTTATGTAGATTATGTAATTATCATAATTATGTAATTATCACATGTTTTAAATTTGTTTGTGATCCTCAAAATATAAAATACTAACTTTCACAATAAAGTTCACGTAGTTTTAAAGGGAAAAAAAACTCATGTGACTCCTTAGTAAACTTTGCATGCGATTGAGCAATGAAAGTGCTTCTAGTATTCTGGTATCCTGTTTTAATAGTGACATCTATCCAGTCTGTTTTTTGGTTATGCTGTCCTAATCTATCCTAAGGTACAGTCAACCACTTATACGCTAATATCCATTTCTAGTGGTTTGACATTTAGTTCAAGTAAATAAATATTGTCCTGTTTCATTTCAGCTTGGAAATTAGCATTCATGTAGCAGGTTAAATTTGTCAACCTGAGGCTTTTAGTTAAAATGTCTTATGATCATTTTTCACACCTCTGACTGAATCCCTCTGGTTATAGGATCTAAATTTGGACACATTGCAACTGGTGTGTATTTATGAACGTTGCAAGATCCCAGGGTCATGTGATCACTTTTTGCAATATTGTGACAAGCAAAGTCAATGGGGAGATCAGATTTACTTAACTGCAGTGATTCAATTAACAACAAAAAGTTGTTTTTTGAAAAACTAAAAACTAAACCCATGCAAGACTGAGTGGTTCTGGGTTTGGGGTTCACTGGCTCAGGGAGAATTACCACCTTGGGTGGGGTGGCACTACCCGCAAACAGATTCTGTGTGTAATCTAGGGGTTTTCCTGGACTTGGGACTCCTGCTCAAAGATCAGGTGCTGGTCGTAGCCAGGAGGGCCTTTGCGCAACTACAGGTTGTGTACCAGTTAAGCCCTTTCCTGGACCAACAATCCCTACTCACAGTCACTCATGCCCTAGTCACTTCCCTTCTTCACTATTGCAACGCGCTCTACATGGGGCTGCCCTTGAAGAATATCCGGAAGCTCTAGTTGGTGCAAAATGCAGCGGCCCACATGATTTTGTGCAGACTCTGGTGCACACATGTATGACTTCTTCTGCGGGAACTGCATTGGTTGCTGATTTGCTTCCAGGTGCAATACAAGGTGCTGGTTGTCACCTTTAAAGCCCTTCATGGCTTGGGACCATCTCTTGCCAGTCACATTTACCCAACCCATCAAAACAGGGAGGCAGGGAATGTTGCGAGGCCCACCCCGAGGGAGACATATCTGGTGGGATCCAGAAGAAGGGCCTTTTCCATGGTGGCTCCCTCTCTGGAACATCATTCCTTCAGAGATTAGCCACCACTCTAACACTCTTCCAGAAGGCACTGAAGACCTGGTTCTGCCAGCAGGCCTGGGGAACCCAGAGCGGGATTGAGCCCATTAAATGGCTTGTGTGATCTGCCGTCATCGGGGTGGAGGTGGGAGTTTGGGGGTGATTTTGATTTTGTTATATTGTAATATAAATGTATTTTATTCTTTTTGTTAGTTTTTATTGTTTTAAATGTGGTTTTATATTCTGTAAGCCACCTGGAGTTGCCATGGGCGAATAGCCAGCTATATAAATTCAATAAATAAATAAACAAGAAAAGTTGCAAAATGGGGCAAAACTCACTTAACTGTCTTGACTAGCAAAAGAGGTTTTGAGCTCAATTGTGCTTGAAATCGTGGACTACCTGTATGTAGTTCTTAAATAGGGCTGAACTCGTTTAAAAATTATTTGGAAGAACTGTTTTTTATCTCACCCAAGCATAAAATATCTTTACCATATCTTTAAAAGGGTCAGGTTTCTTTCAGGTTTCCCCATAAGCTTATTATTAATTCCCATTAAGTAAATTCATTTTAATTAGACAATCCCTTAAGTACTAGCATCTTATTTCATGTTAATGTGGAAGCATGAAAAAAAGATGCCTTAATAAGTAGAAGGTCAATAGAGGGTTTTCATGGGGTGTTTACTGTTTCTTCCAAATAATTTTCAAATTGTATATAACCCTGTTGTAAATCTTTTTCCAATGCTTGAAACAATCAGTTTGAAAAATAAGTTCACACAGAATTTCCCTGCTATTTTTTCCTAACATTTTAAGAATAATTTTTGGATGAAAATGTCTGGAAATTCTCAGTCATCCAGGGTCATGGTTGTCCCATAGGTGCTTTTTCAAGAGGCAACTGGACTTTCTGATTTTTCTTTGAAGACATTTAGCTTCTCATCCAAGAAGCTTCTTCAGCTCTGGTTTTGGATGAAGATTGGGACAACACTTTGCTTGTATGGAATTAAAAACAATCTTCTTTCCATTTTAGGGTGCTCCTGGACCGAGCATATTCAGAGAACAACAGTGCATTTTGTCAGCTGGATTCAGAAACACCTTCCTCACAACTACACTCTTCAGTCAATCAAATTGTCAATACCTCAGAAACAAATACCTCGGACAGATATTTATCTAAAGACCTCAGTCAGATACTAGTTGATATCAAATCACGTAAATGGCGTCATTTTAGGCCTCGGACACCATCCCTACATGACAGTGACAATGATGAACTTTCATATAGGAAATTGCACAGAAGTGTTAATCGAGCAGGCACAGCACAACCTGGTACCCAGACATGCAGTACCTCTATTCAAAGTAAAGATAGCAGTGGTGCAGCACACTTTGGTATGTTGATTTTGACTAATATAATTCTAAAAGTATTCATGCTGAAAACCTAATTGTTATTTATTTTTTCTATATTTTCCTTAGTTGCTGATGTTTATGCTGCATGATTAAATTACATGCTAAAATGAAAGATTGATATAGTAGATTTGGTCCAGATTTAGTTTGAACTTTATTTCTAGCTAAATTGTAATTATAGCTGTATTGAATCCAATCTAGTTTTCAAATCTTTAGTAAAATTTTATAGAGTTCATTCCTTACAATTGTTAATTATTGACTTTTTGTTTTATTTATATTTTTCAGTTTTGACAGTATATAATTTGCTGTTAAGAATGCAAAATAAGGAAATGATTTGAAATGTTCAAAGCACCACCACTTAAAATCCAAAAGTAATATACATAACCGTGAAAAGTCCTGCTGGTTTAAAGGACCAACTTGTCAGTTATTTTAATAGGACAAAAAGTTTAGAGATTGCCACTGAAATCTCTGCAGCCTGTAGCCCCTTTGGCAGTGTATTTACATCTATATTACATCTTAAGGAGATGGTATAAATAAAAAACTTTTGTTTTTGGCAAGCCATTAATATGTTGAAAGGAAGCAATCCTGATTTCTTGTAAAAGGATCTTGTTTTTTTTTTAAATATATATTACATACATGATGTCTAAAAATGAGCATGAATATTATTTTGAGACTACAGTGAGAGAGATTTGGGAAGTTCAGAATTAAATTTCTGAACTGTAAACTTTGATGAGTCAAGCAGCCTGGGATACAGCTAAGAAGGATATGGCTTTTTGATTGAAGCACATTGCTATAGAATTACTAAGGAGTTACTAAGATTTGTGTTGGTTAAATATATAATTTGTAAATGTAAATCTTGAGAGTGTAATGTTTCAATTGTGGTCATCATCTTTTGTTATCTTCTGTAATTGATATAAACCCTTTTTAAATTATGTTGGAACAGTTCTGTAGCAATGGATATTTGTTTCTTAAATAAAAGACAAGGAAATTATCTCTGACATAGATGAATAAAAAGAATATATATAATGCCGTAGCAATTTTATTAAGACTTTTGGTCATTTCAATTGTCTAATCATTTTGTTTACTATAATTGCTATTCATGACTTGAATAATGGATCAAGTCTGTATAAGATTCAAAGCTTATTTTTATAACTAATTACAACAGTCTATTTGAATTACGTAATTGATTCCAGGCAGAAGTATGAGGATATTGAAATAGTATTTCATTTGATACCAAAATAAGTTAGAACTCTTGGCCCGTTTTGTCAGATTACTGCGTTTGCTTTACTACCAAGACAATGTTTCAAATTAAAAAAAAAATTCAATGGGTTATCCTGAAACATTTCTTTTAAAAAATTTCTTTTAAAAAATTTCAAGCTCAAAACAGAATATATCATATTTGGAACAAAGCTGTTTTAATGTCAGCACTTTCAAAATATTGGAAATAGTTAGTCCTGAACTTACTACAGTTCGCTTAGTGAATGCTCAAAGTTACAACAGCACTAAAAAAAAAGTGACATGGTTGTTTTTCACATTTACAAACATTGCAACATCCCCGTGGTTACATAATTAAGATTTGGATACTTGCCAACTGGCTTACAGTTATGATGGTTGCAGTGTTCCAGGATCATATGATCACCTTTGCGACCTTCTGACTAGCAATGTCAATGGGGAAGCCAAATTCACTTTACAACCATGTTACTAACTTAACAACTGCAGTAATTCACTTAAAAACTACAACTGCAATAGTTCACTTAACAATTGTGGCAAGTGAGATCATAAAATAGGGCAAATAATTGAACAACTGTCTTGCTTAGCAACGGAAATGTTGGACTCAATTGTGGTTGAAAGTTGAGGACTACTTGAACATATTTTAAAAAACCAAAACATTGTGTACCACAAGTCTGAAAAGTAAACATTTTTGTTGAGGACAAATTTCATGTATGATAGTTTGATTCAAATTATAATATGTTGAGATTAAAATATGTAGGTAAAAGATGGTTTTAATTGAAAGCCTTTTCTGAAAGGTGTACCAGTAATAGCTGAAAGATAAAATAGACCATAGGAAGAAAATTATTATAATAAGTTCCTAGAGTCATCAGTTTGAGATGGGTGACTATACAAATTGAATTAATACAATGTAAAACTATCATAATCAACTAATTGGGAACATTGCAATAGAGTTGCTGTGCACTGATCATTTCAGTTTGCATACTTCCAATCCTTAAAACATGAAAAGATGGGCATACCTGAGTGGACCCGTATTCCTAACTTTTTTTAGAATCAAGGATTTGAAAACTATTTTAAAATCCAGACATATACATTTAGAGGAAAAAATTCAAACAAAATTTATATTTGTGAATTTATATGAAAAAAACAAAGAAACTCCTACATATGCAATTGTTTTTTGGTTAGGGGAAAAATACCAGGTTTGTGTGTTCCATACAATTTTGGCTTGCACATCTCAAACCATTGTTTCATTTGTCACATGAAAAATCATTTTTAAAACCAATGAAGTTTTCAATAGAAATTTAATATAACAGAATCCGTTTATTTAAAATGAAAAAAATTCTAAGTATTCCTTAAAAACTCTGATATAGCCAATACAGTTATTCTATTACTTGCATTTTATGAGTCTATACAAGCTTTGAAATCAGATGAAGAAATACTACCAACAAGAACAGTGATATGAAATACCGCATAGGTATTTTTTGTTTGAAAGTTAATTTATATTAGATTTTGTTCAATAATAGCAATTAGACCTTAGACTTATATACAGCTTCACAGTGCTTTTACAGCCCCCTCTAAGCGGTTGACAGAGTCAGTATATTGCCTCCAACCATCTGGGTCCTCATTTTACTGACTTCAGAAGGATGGAAGGCTGAGTCAACCTTGAGCCTGGTGAGATTCAAACTGCCAAACTGCTGGCAATTGGCAGTCAGCAGAAGAAATATTTATGCTGTAGCTAACAAATACATTTTCTTACATATACATTGTTCATTGGAATGGAATTAAGAATGTCAGAATTAATATGAATATCTAATTATTATTCTGACTAAATTTTCTTCCACCACTGTTTCCTTAATAACATTTATGTATAGGACTTACTTTCATTTCCATATTCCAAAAGTCAATACCAAAAAGTTATATTGGCATAATCATTTGTTATACAATATATAAATTATTGACTTTACAGTACTATATTTTTCTCATAAGTGTATTAAGCACAAATGGACTCAAATTAAATAGATTGATATTACGGCTATATCCAGCCAAATCTGTTTCAAATTTAAATGTTTTTGCTGCAGTTTAAAGCCTAAAAGCCATCATTCCTTGGTATCTAGGGGCAAGAGAAAGGAAATAAAACTCAAAACTCTGACATTTTTCTACACTGGAACACACTGAAACCTCTAGTTAGGCAAAAGTACTATGAAGGTTTGTTTGGGATTGTAGTAATGAAGGTTATATTAATCAAAGGTGTATAGTGCACCAATAATTGTTTCTCAACCATCTCTTTTACTTCATTTTATGTGTACAGAATAAAATGATACATAAGTAATTTGTTTTTGAAACTTGGCATGTATCTATATTGTGCTGCCTTGTGCATGGAATTAAAGTAGATTATAAATTTTAATTTTCTGTCAGGAAGTTTAATCTAAAATAATAATACTTGATGAAGTGAAATGTCCAAACTTCCATATTTAAAATGAATTGAATTTTAAAAACTTGCCATCTTGTTCTAGAAACAAAGTTTATAATTTATTCTCTCTAAATTCATTTAAAAAGTTGGCATTAGGGAGATTTTCATTAAGATGCAGTGAAACAAAAATTGCAATAAAACTTCTTTTTACTATTTTTAGAATTCTCCATAGACAATAACAGTATAATATAGTGTTTCTTCATCCCTCTGTAAATCAGCATAATTAACTGTGTTCTTATTGACCAGATTTCCCCCCCTCCCCCCAAGGTGTTTGTAATAATTCATTACAATGTCACCATTATATTTACATATACGTACACAAATTCTCAGTTGAATATCAACATTATCAAAATTTAGGAACAAGGAACACATTTTAGCTGATGTATCAGTAATTCTGCTACTATGATGATCAAAATACGGCAATTTGCTGATCTATAACAACAATTCAAATGTTTAATCCTTCATGGTTTACAACTAAGCTTTATTTTGGAAGTGTAGTTAGTATGAGATCCCACTAGAACTGGAGTACTAAATAAATATACTGTGCTTTAAGATATGTGCATTTTTAGAATTTAAATTAGGGGATGCACATGTTAGGTCTACGTATTTTGATGCAGTATTCTCTCATTTTATATTTTGTTCAGCATTTACAGCCGAACAATACCAGCATCATCAACAACAAGTGGCACTAATGCAGAAGCAGCAGCTTGCACAAATTCATCAACAGCAAGCAAATAGTAATTCTTCTGCGAACGCTTCACAGGTGAGGGAATTGCCTGTATTATGATTCATTCCTCATTTTTTCCACCAGGGGTCATCTCTAATTCTCAACTGTTGCCATAACATCTTGCAACTAACCAACAGAAAAATGGCTTTCGCTTGAATCTTCATCTTAGCCATATGCTAGTGTATAGAAGCGATGCTACAGGTGAGTATAGATGGCACTACTGCTGTCGCTTGTAACAGAAAAAGAGGTGATTCCAATTTGTAAATATGCACCAGAAGAAAACAAGAATTGTCTGGCTGATGTCAACAACATCATAATATTGAATGTATATTCCAAGGAACAGAACTTGCATTACTCTAGCAAATCTGGATGGATACGACTATACATATATTCTAAAGAATTCTGGATAACTCATTAATTTACATTGCATACACTTGCTTTCCCTTCTACCCTCAAATAAATTTACAGATCAATCCCTATTTATGGCATATATTTTAAACTCTTCAGTGTTTTCAGAAAATAAAGCTTTTTATCTCTTATTAGTAAATAACTTACTATGGGTTAGAGCAGTAATCACAATATACATCATTTGGCTGAGTTTCTTGATTTATTCAAGTATTTAAAAACTAGAAGATGCTATAGTTTAAAATTCCAGTGAAAAGACTCTTTTTATTTAATCAGAAAATACCAATAATTAAGTTTATGGTTGTGTATATTTTTACCCATGCTAGTAATCAAGTATTTGCTTTAAAAATGAAATGGGGTTTTAAAGCAGATCTTTAGTGCATGCTTTTGTGACTCTTCTCTTAGGATTGTGAACTGTTTCTTCCCATACATATTATACTATATTCTATAGAGCAGTTTTGAATTTAAAAAAAAAACATTCCATACTTACTCTTAACAGAAACTTTTCTATTGTTGGGTTCAGCTGTATATTATTGTAGTGTGTGATAATAGTTTGATGTTATTTTTTTTCTCTAAAAGGGTTTTGGTTCCAAGACGTTGGATTCTGTCAGTGCTCAGTTTGCTGCTTCAGCCTTGGTTACATCAGAGCAGCTCATGGGATTCAAAATGAAGGATGATGTGGTGCTTGGAATTGGAATGAATGGCGTCCTTCAAGCCTCAGGTAAGAAGTGGTAATGATTGTAGTGTCAAAAAGTATAATTGCATGTGGGTGGCGGTAGTGTGAGAGAGAGATAAATCAATAACATTGTTTTCATTGGGTTGACATTTTTTTCTTATTTCACAGGAGTATATAAGGGCTTACACTTCAGTAATACTACGCCTACAGCACTTATACATACAAGCTCATCAACAGCAGGTTCAGCCTTGTTACAGCCTTCAAATATAACACAGACTTCAAGTTCCCACAGTGCACTGAGTCACCAAGTAACTGCTGCCAATTCTGCAACAACTCAGGTTCTGTTTGGGAACAACATTAGATTAACTGTACCCTCATCTGTTGGCACTGCAAACTCTATTAATACGCTCAATGCACGGCACATACCTAGGACTCTAAGTGCTGTTCCATCATCTGCCTTAAAGCTGGCTGCAGCAAACTGTCAGGTGCCCAAGGTGCCAGCCTCATCCTCTCTGGATACATTACCAAGGTAAGTTCTTTACTTTATCATGTTGAATTCTTAAAATTGAAAAAGAAAAATTTTATGGATGTCTAAGCAAAGTAGAACCAGAAAATTCTTCCAAACGGTCTCTTAATTTCTGCATTAAAGTCTTAGTGAAAATGGAAGTTCTACAATTAGAAATATTGAATAATTTCTGAGAAGTTTATATCAAAAGTGGGACAGACTGCTTTTGTAAAACTTGGTTTTCAAAAGAAAAAAGCCCTTTTTGGTGCTGCTGAACAGTAACCTAAAAAAGTCTAATTAATTCACAACTTCAAATTTTCATTGCTTTCATTTAGTAAAATTTGAACCTACTACTCATTTATTGTAAAGAATTAAAAAGATCACACTTTCTATGTTTTTGATCTTATTCTCTTTTGTTTTTCATTTTTCTATTTTTGTTGTAGATTTCGGTACCACAAGTATATTAATACTTCCAACTTTGAAATGTGTATATAGTAATGCTTGCAACATTAAGGGTTGATGTGCTCAAGCTCTGAAAATAATAATGCATGTGGTCAAATTACCACCTATCGTCCCCCCTCCAATCTTTTTTTATTTTCAACATTAAAATCTGTGCTGTAATCATTAATTTGTTGGAATAGCTCCAAAGAGATTCAGGCCATCCTTGGCCATGAGAGCTTTCTCAAATCAAACTACATGACATGCTGGGTTTTTTGCAGAAAAATGAGACCGGGGTGCTGTGGATACCGCCTTCAGCTCCTGAACAAAAGGCGGGATATAAATCTGACAAATGATTAAATAAGAAGATAGGGATACCTAGAAATAGGTATCCCTAGATAAGATACCTAGAAATTCCAAGGCTGTAGATAGGAACTCAAATGAAAAATTCCAGGTTTCTCCATTGATTTCTTCAAGAGATAGATATTCAGGATTCACTCAAAGAATCCTACATTTGTCTTTTTATCAGTTTTATTGATATTGTCATTGCTCCATTGAAAGGTTGGACGGAATGGTGTTGGATTAATTTACTTATATCCAATCCTTACTACATTACAACTGCAGGTAGTGTATTTTCTTTGGAGATGTTTAGGAATGTGTTGAATCAACCATCTAAAAATAGATTATTAAATATTTGTTTTAGATTAGTACATGGGTGTCAGACTCGATTTCATTGAGGGCCGCATCAGGGCTGTATTTACGGTGGGGGGCCAGGGTGGATGTGGCCAGCTTGACGTCATTCGTGACGGGCGCCTGTGGCAGCCCAAGCACTCTGCCAGCAAAAATGGGCTACTGAGCTCCAATTTTTGACAGTGGTGGCCTCCTGCAACCCTCTGCCAGGGAAAACATGCCTTGGGAAAGCCATGCTCCCAAGCTCCGTTTTCCCTGGCACCACGGGCCAATCCTTCAGTGTTTCCAGGGCGGGCCCACGGGCCAAATCTAACCACCCCGCAGGCCTGATGCGGCCCATGGTCCTTGAGTTTGACACCCCTGGATTAGTAGTATCTCAGTTTGAACTGTAAATGGTTTATTTTTCCACAGTGTTTCCATAAGTATGCAACAACACAAATTTGAAATTGGAAAAAAATACATTATTACATGACACTTTTCAAAGATGGAAAATAAGCACTTTTACCATGTTTTTTTAAGTATGGCTTTTTCCAATTTAGATACTCAACCATGTATTTGTATTCTCTCTGCTTTTATTTTTCAGGGAAAACCATGAAACAGAAAAGTCAGCACTGAACAATATAGCAGACAATACAGTAGCAATGGAGGTGACGTAGTTTCTGTAGTAACGAAACTTCAGTCTTCGGGAACTTGTTTAGGTGCTATGCATCAGTAGCAATTTGAATGCAAGGGATGATGAAATGCAGCACATTGTATTTCCATGGCAGCTGTAGGGACTTGACAGCAATGCACATCTCTCATGCTTTGGTTTTTCTATTCTTACTGTTAATAGGAGGAAAATCAATACCTGTAAATTAAGACAACAGCAATTATCTGTACAGTACTGTGTATTTGTAATACCCTTGTATATATGTTACTTGAATACAGAACCGTTCATTTGTGATGCTTTGCACTTGGGAGGGGGGGAGGGAGAATTGCAACAAAGTAAGAGTGTAAGAAGTGAAATTGTATAAAGATGAAGTGTCATGACATCATGTGCATGGTGCGGAACCTGCTGTTTTATCTATTTATTGTGCTGTGTTTACAGTTTTTGTACACTGTACCTTCATTGGTTCCTGTGCTGTAGTAAATGTGTTAGGTAGCTGTGGACTCCTTGGTATTTTGTAAATGATATTAACATAACTTGGTTCCCCCTCTGGGTCCTTGAGTTTTTTGTGTATCATGTGAAAACTGGTGACATACTTATAGAATTTTTTAAAAGGCATCAGTTTAAAAATGGGGAATGTACTACTAAATATGATCTTCCTGTTTTAAAATCACAAGGCAAGTAACAAGCTAAAAATGAAGTCTCATGGATTCTATTCAACTGACTAGCTCACAAGCATGTGTGCAGTTTCTGGTACTTAAAGCACTAAAGTTATGTTGCTGCTCTTCATATAGTCCCTTCTGTTGTCCCATTTTCTTATGCACCAAAATAGTGGTGTCAAATCAAGTATGCAAATGGAGTCCTTACAACTGGAGTTTTATGTTGTCTTGCCATTCTTTTGATCACAAATTATATTTTTTTATTGTGTAATTGTTATTAAAGACTTCATTCTTGTTCTTTTTTGGGGGGAAAGCTAAAAGGGAAAAGAATGCAGTAATTGCTGTACGTGTCTCATCATTCCAATTTCTGAAAACAGCCAGCTTTCCTTCCTCGGCCCTTTTTCTTTTAATATTCTCCAAAAGGCTGAAAGACCAGAACCACAACTCTCGGGTGCCTTGGAAATATTTGCTTTCTCTTCTGTGAAGAGAATGGTTCTTAGGACTCTACTACTAGTGCTTTCTCAGTACCAGTCTGAATGCCCATTCTGATGGCATACATTATCCTTAAGGTTTTTAATTCCACCTGGAATTGTGATAGAACTCTCACAAAATAAACCCAGGGCATTACATGTTGACAGAGAAAGTGTGTGGTGTGTTATACTAATTTCATTTTATGGATTTATTTATTCTGAGAGAATGTGATCCAAAACAGCTGAGCATGCTTGTTTTAAAATTAAAATATTTTAAAAGTAATGCAGTAAATGAATTAATGGGGCTCACTGATTAGTGGCTTCTACTATCCATAGAGACTGTTGAGAGTTGTTGAACAAAATAAAATGGGGCAAAGAACTTCGCTTCGAAGTGGAGTGAAGCATTGGGTGAATAATGCCTGCTACAAGAAGCCAAAGCAGAAAGAGATATTGTATATGCTCTTGCAAAAATTTCCAGAATCTTTCAAAGTTCACGTTCACAAAAACATAAAAATAAAGTTACAGATCATTGCAGAGAGAAATATCTCAGATGGACTATGGTTTCCATAAAAAATAAGGTTTCACTGAACAATTATTCAGCGCAAAATAATGAAAATTTCTGATTAAAAATCCATTTCAAGCTTTTCAGGCAGAATACATAATCCTTTACATTATTAATTTGCTTTTATCTGCCTAGTAATTATATCTGAGAATATAGACGTAAATTATGATTTGGGGGAGGTCTGGAGGAAAGCAGTATTTTCTGGAATTAGAGGGATTCTAACAATTATTGGCTCTGGGAACTCCAGCATTTTTAAGAGAATATCCCCATCATCTGACTAAGAAAGCAAGAGTAGTATGAGTTCTAGGTCCCTCTTTAGCCATGAAAGTGGGGTAGGTGACCTACCAGTCATTTTTGGCCCAACTCACCTCATGAGGTGGTGGTTCTGGGAAAAATAGGAGCGTGATACGTTGGATATGTTCCCAGTCTTGAGTTATTTACAGAAATAATAAAGGCAGGATACAAATAAATAAAAGTAAAATCAATGAATTTGTATTGGCATTTGAAATAACATGGTTCAATATACATTTGGTGCCCCTTTTTCACTAAAAGTACTAATGAATCTGTAAACATGACATTTTGATGTCTTTCCTTTACCAACTGTAGCAAAGAAACCTAGAGAGGATAAAATAATGGAATAGTTAGTTTTTAGAACTCTTCGGCATTTAGAAGGAGACAAAATAGTTTGAATTTCATTCACAGATACTTGAAGATTAAAAAATAATTCACCTAAATGGTGAATGTCAGATGCCAAAACTGAGAAACTAGAGAATTACCTTTTATTGTGGCCACAATTTTTGTGTTGTAGCTACTTCCATTTCATAAATGGATGTTCCTTTTGCACAGTGTATTTTTCCCTTAATACAACACAAATCTACATTCTTAGCAGAGCTGGAAAACAAAGTTGTAATTTCTTTAAAATAATTATAATCTTATCTAATTAATGTGTAAAACAATAGTCAAGCAACTGAAAATGACATCTTTTTTCAGCAAAATCACAAGCATAATTCAATTACTTGGGTTTTCAAATAGTTTATAATAGTTGAAAAAACTGGGTGCAAAGTTGCTGTTTGAAGCAGGGATTGGGAGAACTGTTAAAAGTTTGGTTTGAGCATTACACTTCTTGGCACATGGCTCATAAAAAAAGGTGCCTAGAGTTTTCCTAGTGGGTATGATTGCTGAATCTCTCTGGTTCTTTGTGCAACTAAAATTGCCTGTTTCCAAAAACTGGAAATACCTTAATATTGTATTTAGTACACGCATCTAAGCAACAAGTATGCTGAAGTGAAAAACAATAAATATCCTTGCTTTGATCTCTCCCAAGGAGAAGAGAGTATTCTGCATGGCCTCATAATTTACATAATCATGGTGTACTTAGTGTTCCTTTTTGAATATAGACATACTGAACCATAAGTTGTGATTCAAAGATCTATATAAATCAAGTGCAATAGATGTCTTTTCCTAATAGGCACAGACTGGCAGAATGTATGCAGAATCCTGATATATCCTTATATTAAGATTCCTTCATTTTAATCATATAAAGTGATACATTAGTGATCTTAGCTGTTTCCTGACTAGCCCTTAGATCTCTGCAGGAAGTTAACATGACAACTATTCTAAAATTTTATTTTTTGTTCCATAATTTTCAGAGGCTGCATAAGAAGGGTGTGTGCTCTTCCACAGCCTCTGGCACTTTGAAAGTCATACAGAAGGTGGCATGCTTTACATTGAGGAGTTTAAAAAAAAGTTCAGCTCAATAGGAAAAAGTAGACAGGGCACAACATATACAGCAAATGGCTGGGTCCTAAAAAAGAAGCAAAAAAATATCTCCAAGGACCCTGCTTCTGTCACAGCCAGCTGTTTGCTACATGTGTTATGCTCTGGTTATTTTTCCTACTGAGGTGAACTTTTTCTTCAACTTCTCAATTCAAACAAGCTGCAGAAATACCTTTTTTGCTTCCTTCCTTGCTTTTCTCTGTGTTTCAACCTGGCAGTCATTCATCAAGGTAAGTCACTTACACATTTGTCACCCTCCTTCCAGGCATGCAATAAATTTAGCAAATTAAGTGGTTGAAATGAATTGAGATGGAGACAGAACAAATCTGTCCCTCCCCACCAGCTTTTGTTTTTTCACTGAAGAAATGTGGATTTCTGGAAGGTAAGCAATAGAAAGGTTTGGAGAAGTGCCATCTTTGCATTCAGGTGGCTGATTTCCCCAATTCTAGCAAGAGCCAGGAGTAATTTGCAGTCTTCCAAGCAGAGCAAAAAGTTCTTCCCGAAGCTACCCCCTTTCCATGTAGGTGGCTGGCTTCCTTAAAACCCAACAAGAGTTAGGAGAAGTTTGCAGTCTCCTGACAGCCAGGTGATTAGGGCAGAAAGCTCTAAAAACAGCTGTAATTTCTGCAAGGAATTGTCCGAACACTGAAAATAGTTGCTTTTAAGAGACATGGAGAGTGGATCCAAGCACTGCGCATTCCCAGCAAGATGGGATGAGAATAGATGGTGCATCCCTGTGGTCATTCATAAGGGTAAATGACTATAAAGGCAGGGCAGCCACTTTGAAATGGGGTTGTATGTATTTGGGGAGAGGGGGTTCTGTTGTAATTTTGGCCATTAAGTAACAGGTTGTATCTTAAGGACTACCTGTAATCAATCTTACCTTAAATATATACTCTGTAATTTCTGTAGAAACCAGGAATACAAAGATAATGCCAACAGCTACAGATGGACAATGAGACATTTAAAATCAACAAGGAGAAAATTAAATTAGTTCAAGTATTTATCTTCCTTGGATCCACAATTGTTCACAATGGCAATTCTACTCCTGAAATCAAATGCAGGATAACCTTAGGCCGCACTGCAATGGTTAACATAAATAAAATCTGCAAAAGCAGAGATATTAATGTAAATATATAAAGCAGACTAGTTAGAGCAACTGTCTTTGTTATAACAATGTATGAGTATGAAAATTGACATGAAAAATGATTGAAGAACTTACACTTTTGAACTGTTTCTGGTGTAAATTACTGCATATACCATGGGCAGCTAGAGCAACCAACAGGTTTTAATCATATAAAACCAGACACATCATTGGAGGCTAAAATAAGACTACGTCTTGATTTATTTTGTCCATGTTATGCATAGAAATTCATTAGAGAAGGCAATGATGTTAGGAATAGTTGACGAAGAAAGAGCAAGCAAAGATCATGCTGACTTGATAATATCAAATTGACACAAAATTGAACATCCAACAATTGAAAGAAGATGTGTTTGACAGGATAGCATGGAGAGCATCTGCCTATAAAGTCACTCAGAGTTGAATATGATTAAATGGTTAAAAACAAACAATTCCTCTAAGCTTGTAAGAAAGACTTTTCTTTGTTAAAAGTTTCTTTCTTATTGCCTGATATTTCATCCAGTCTCTTTTTCCTGAAGACCTTGTTTTAAAAGTTGCTTGGATTTTTTTCACAATATTTCTTCCTTTTGCTCCTCAGGTTCACATAATAGCAACAGCACTTAGGCTTATATACCACTTCACAATGCTTTACAGCCATCACTAAGCAGTTTACATAGTCAGCAAATCGCCCCCAACAATCCTCATTTTACCAACCTCAGACGGATGGAAGGTTGAGTCAACCTTGAGCCAGTGAGACTTGAAGTGCCAAATTGCAGGCAGCCAGCAGAAGAGGTAGTCTTCAGTACTGCATTCTAACCACTGCTCGTAAGTTAATGTATGAAATCTTTATACTGATTTCATATTCTGACATATTTCTGGCATACTCTAGCTACCACTATTACCATCCTTCATTTTTTTTAATTTAACCTACTTGATACCATTAAATATCCTGGCAGTCTAGGTTGCTTTTCTCTACAATGCCTAATATATAATCTCTCTGATTTCAGTGCTGTCCGTCCACTTACAATATATGTCTATATGTAAAGTCTGCCTTTTGTATTATTTGAAATTTGTGTTATCACATTAGTAATAAATGAAAAATTTATTCTGCAAAACTATATAAATTTCCTATCTGCATTTTTGTAATACCCAATCAAGTTCTTCCTGTAATTCTTAGGTTACTATTATTTATCTTATTTATTTATTTTTCATTCCCACCTTCCATTTGTCACAATATCGCATTCAGCAGATTTTGCAGCTTGCCCAAAAAATTCATCAGTATTTTCCACCTTGGATCCACAGGAGAGACATAACTCCATATACATCACTGATGTTCACTGAGATCTGCTGATTCTGATAGATATGAGTTTATTGTTTATTTGGTTAAAGCAGAGCATATACTTAACAATATAATTTTTGAGTTATCACTGCCAATCTTCCTTCTTCTGTGTTGTACTTTGAATCATCATGTGACCATCTGATTTAAAGGTCTATCCATCTCTTTCATTTCTCTGTTTCTCAAAGTATCCAATGGAATCCTTTACCTTTTTGGATGATTTTAAGTTTTTTCTTTAATCTAATTCCCACCATGTCTCTAGAGAAGAAAATGAAAGCTTGTTTTCTGAAGCTTCTAATCATGGAATCACAGAGTTGGAAGGGATCTAAAGGTCATCAATTGCAATCTCTTGCACTATTCTATCTCTATCAGCTGATTAACCCAACATTGGAAAATCTCCAGGGAAAATAACTAATCCATGCAGATACTTAGTCCGCTGACTGACAACTCTTAACTCTCAAGAAATGATACCTAAAGTCTAATCTGTATCTACATCCTTGCAGTTTCATCCCCTTCATCCTCATCTTATCCTCTGGAGCAAACAAAAATAAGTCTCTCTTGCCTCTCTGCAATGTGTACTAGAGAACCCCCAAGTATTTGGAGAAAGCTCTCATGTTCCCCTCTTAATCTTCTCTTTTGCAAGCTAAACATATTTAGGTTTTCTATAGGGTTTGGAAAAGGAAGATATAAGACAATGCACAAACTACTGACATTAAGTTCATTACTCAAATTAAGTTTTAATTTATTGTGACATCTGCCCAGTCCCCTATAAGGATTCTAGCTCTGATTACTGCAAAGATGAGCAGACAAGCTAGCTTACACTTTCTGTACATCTTTTTAAAGTCGTTAGATTGTTAATGTTTTTATTTAAAATGAGGTAATTTGAGAGAGGGGGTAGAGACAATAGCCATCTTCAAAACCCCCAAATTAACACATTTTAATAATGTAAAAATTCTTGCAGAACTGTAATTATCAGTTATGCCCTCTTATTCACCTTTCCCCCTACCTTTACTAAGCATA